TGCTTGGAAAGTCAAGTACAACCCCACCCATTGAAGGCACAACAATGGCAGCAAGGGGGAACTAATCTCGCCATCTAAAAGGAAAAATCGGCCCTGGTGCGATCACTACAAGAATTTGGGACACACTAAGGACACCTGTTGGATTATTCATGGAAAACCTTCAGAGGAAAAACATACAAAAAACCTGGATAGTAGAGGCAACACAACAGAGGTAAATTCTAATCCATCTTCATTCAACAAGGAGCAAATGGAAGCACTACAAAAAATTCTCTAACAAACAATTGGTACAAATGCAGTAGCACAAAAAGGTAATTTCTTGCATACTCTAAATACTAGCATAGGAAAATCAAAGTCATGGATCATTGATTCAGGAGCCTCAGATCATATGACTGAAGACTTAACTGTGTTTAAAAGCTATTCTCCTTGCCACAATTATTACAAAGTTCGAATAGCTGATCAGACTCTTTCTAAAGTCATGGGTAAAGGTTTAGTTATTATCTCATAAAATATTAACCTGAAGTCAGTCCTTTATGTGCCTAAACTTGATTGTAATTTACTGCCCATTAGCAAGCTTACAAAAGATTTGAAGTGTGTCACTAAATTATTCCCTAACCTATGTGAATTTCAAATTTTGGAGACGGGGGAGACGATTGACATTGCTAAAGAATGTGCTGGACTATATTGCCTCTAAACTAAAGTGTTAGATGCGGAACCCAAGGCCAACTCTTGTGTTATGGTATCTAAAAAATAAAAATTCTGTAATGTTTTGGGACTATCGGCTTGGCCATCCTAATTTTATGTACTTAAAAAGAATGTTTCCCACATTATTCAATAAGAATCAGGAGTTATTTCAATGTGAAATATGTCAATTGTTCAAACATACCTACAACTCATACTCGCCTCAATCCTATAAATCCTCTCAACCTTTCTCCTTAATTCACAACGATATATGGGGACCATCACGGGTAAACAATGTCACATGATCAAGGTGGTTTGTCACCTTCATAGACGATCACACATGAGTCACTTGGGTGTTCCTAATGAAGGAAAAATCAGAACTTAGCAAAATATTTAAATTTTTTTCATACTATGGTGGAAACACAATTTCAAAATAGGATTAAGGTACTTAAGAGTGATAATGATCGAGAGTATTACCACTTTGCACTAAGTTCCTACCTTCAGAGACATGGAATCATACATCAGAGTTCAGGTGTAGATACCCCTAAGCAAAATGGGGTCCTCGAGAGAAAGAATAGACATCTTTTAGAAGTGACCAGATCTCTCATGTTGGCTACAAATATACCTAACCAATTTTGGGGAGAATTTTTCCTCTCTGCAACCTACCTCATAAACAGAATGTCTTCCCGAATCCTCAACTTTAACACACCTCACTCTACACTCCAAACCTCATGCCATACTAGTCATATTCTTACATCCATTCCCTTGAAAATATTTGGATGTTCAGCCTTTATCCATAACCTCCTTCCTCGTTGCAACAAACTTGACCCAACAAAAGGGGTATAAATGTTATTCACCTCAAAGCAGGAAATTTTACCACACCATAAATGTCACCTTTTTTGAGAATCAGCCTTATGACCCTAAAGTTGGCATTTAGGGGGAGCAGATTTATCTAATTGAAGTGGAAAAATCCCAAATTTTGGGATTTGAGCTAGCTCACTCTACCCCAAATGCAGAACCAGCCAAGACTGCACCTATAGTAGAGGAAAGTACAGTAGCAAATGCAGAGCCAATCGAGACTGCACCTGAAAGAAAGAAAGTAAAGTTTAGCACAACTCTAAGGCAATGTCATATGGAGTGGACTACGAAGAGACGTTTGCATTGGTGGCCAAACTCAATTCAATCTGAGTTATAATCTCTTTAGCTGTAAATTTAGATTGGTCACTTTATCAATTACACATCAATAATTCCTTCCTAAACGGTGAACTATAAGAAGTCTATTTGCAAATTCCTCCGGACTTGAATCATCAAAAACCTCAAACATGGTGTGTAGGCTCCGAAAATATTTATATGGCCTTAAGCAATCCTGAGAGTATGGTTTGATAGATTGACTCTGGTTGTCAAAGAAGATGGATACAACTAATGCTAATCAGATCACACGATGTTTGTCAAACACTCCGCAGAAGGGAAGGTAATCCTGTTCATTGTTTATGTTGATGATATCATTATCACAAGAGACGATTATGATCAAATCAAGCATTTGAAGAGACTTTTAGCCAAGGAATTTGAAGTTAAGGACTTGGGCCAACTCAAATACTTTATAGGGATGGAAGTTTCTCGGATGAAGGATGGTATTTATGTATCACAAAGGAAATATACGTTGGACTTACTTCAAGAAACTAACATGCTTGGATGCAAGGTAGCCAATACTCCCATAGAACTGGAAAAAAGAGGTGAAGAGGAAAGTCCACCAGATAATAAAGATAGATATCAAAGACTAGTTGAAGCTAATCTACCTAACTCACACTAGGCCCGACATTAGGTTTGCTGTTAGTCTGGCAAGTCGCTATACATTTAATCCAACTGAGGCCAACATGAACATGACAAACAGAATACTCCAATACCTCAAAGGTACACCAGGTTGAGGGCTCTACTTCAAGAAGAACTCAAACATAGATTCGACAAGGTGTCCCTTTGACAGGAACCTGTGGTGGCAATGAGTAGTGCAGAAGCTGAATTCAGAGCTATGACTCAAGGTATCTGTGAAGGAATCTGACTTAAGAGGATATTAGATGAAATAAAGCTGCTATAAGCATAGCAAAGAACCTAGTCCACCATGATAGGACAAAACATGTGAGAATTGACTGGCACTTCATTAAAGAAAAAATTGATCATGGTATTATAAGTGTTGACCATATTCCATAATGCAAACAAATAGCAGATATCCTGGCAAAGACTCTTCCAAGGAACACATATGAAAACATTAGTTCCAATCTGGGTATGATAGACATCTACCACCCAGGTTGAGGGGGAGTGTTGGAGATCAACACTATCAATTAGAATAATTCAATTATGATAGGATTTAATAATAATATAATAAGTTTTATGTCGTTATTTATGCACAGTTATGTACAACATTTATATGAAAAATATTTTCCTAATTTGTAGGGATAGATTAGCGTATAGATTTATTACCTTGTATTTTATTTATACATTCTTTGTGTCTTTTTCAAAATAAGAAATACACAATGTATTAGTTAAAATCACCAATGTTTGGTTGTTTCTGTCCTTAGCTATCATCCATAATTGACATTTCAAACAATTAGATGTCAACAATACCTCCCTACATGGCGACCTAAATGAAGAAGTATCATGAAAATTCCTCTTAGAACCACCTACAATGCATAAAAGGTTTATCGTCTTCATAAATCTCTTTACAAACTCAAACAATCCGACCTCTAATAGTATACAAAACTCTCAACATTTCTCATATCTAATAATTGCAAGCAATTATTTGTCGATCACTCACTACTTCTAAAGATTGTTGGCTCTTGTATAACGACTTTCTTTGTCTACGTGGATGTCATTGTCTTGATCAGAAATAATGCTGATGAAATGTCCCATATTACTCGAGAAATGGATGAGGCCTTCAAAGTTAAAGATTTGGAAAATCTCACCTACTTGATTTTTAAGTTGCCCAAAATAGTTTTAGTTGCATCTCTCACAATGCAAGTACACTCTCAATCTCCTTGTTGATAGTGAGATGCTTGCATCTACCCCCATCTCCACTCTTATGAACTATTCCATGAATATTCCTATAAGTAACATTGACATCCATCCTTCCTAATCTGACCACTTACTGACGCCTCATCGGTCGCTTCATCTACTTGACCAATACCAAACTTGATATCACTTATGTTGTCATTACCTAAGTCAACTTGTCAATGCTTACACTATAGCCCACCATCAAGCTGCCCAACTCTTTGCCACCTTAAACTTGCACAAGGAAAATGTATCTTCTTCGACAAAATTAGCAGCACCCAATTAAGAGCCTTTTCTGATTCTGATTGGACCTCTTGTCTTGATACATAATGTTCTATTACGGACAACATCGACAACTCTCCACTAGCTTGCCACTCCAAGAAATAAACCATTTTCTCCAAGAGGTTGATTGAAGTTGAATACCAAGTTCTTGCCTCTACTACTTGTGAATTACAATGTCTAGCTTACCTTTTGGACGATCTAAGAAGACATCACACTCAACTTGCTTCATTATACTACAACAATTATTCTGTTATCCAAATCGCCTCTAACCTTATTTTTCATGAGCGTATCAAACATATTGAGACAAATTGCCATATTGTCAAAAAAATACTTCATAACGGACTCATAAAGTTCTTTCATGTCTCTTCACAACTTCAACAATCTAACATCTTCACTAAAGTTGTGCCACCAACTCGGTTCAATAATTTATTTTCTTTGAGTTTGTGAGGGCTCTTAACTCTCTTAGGTTGGTCCCTCCTTGGTGCTTTTTTAATCAATCTTTTTCTATGTTAGATAAATCATGATATGATCGATCATCGTGTGCTAACTCCTAATTTTATTTATTGTGCTTAATTATTTATTTTTTCTTCTCTTCACATTATTTTATATATACTTTGTCTTTTTTTTATTAAGCCTCTTCTCTTTTACAATAAAGAGTAAATGATAAGCGGAACACTAATTTATTGATTTATTAAAAAATTGAAAATGATTTTTAATACTATAATTTAATAACAAAATAGTTCCTAATTTATTTATAAATTGATCATTAAATATATAATACTAATAAGAAAATAAATAAACTTAACCATAAAATATAGTTTCATAATTGTAAACTAAAATAAATATTTTATTATTTAAAGATTAAACTGAGAGTAACTCATGAATAAATTGGTTACTTAGTATATGTTTATTCTAATTTTATTGTACCTATAAAGGTGCAGGGTAGTAGAGTGCTCACGGTAGCGTTTGACTTCATTTGCGCTCGTCGTTGAGAATCGATGGGGGAGAGTGAGAGAGAGAAAGGGAGAGTGAGCTTAGAGGGAGAGAAGGTGATCTTGGTCCCATACATGGAGGCTCACGTGCCCAAATATCACGAATGGATGAAGGACCCTTCTCTACTTCAAGCCACCGGCTCTGAGCCTCTAACCCTCCAACAGGAGTACCACATGCAACTCTCCTGGTCCCGAGACCCTAACAGTGCACTTCTCTCTCTAACTCTATCTCTATCTATTTCTCCCAACACTACCATTCATTCACACGTATTCATTATGCCTCACCTCAATTTTGCAGAGGAGACCTTCATTGTACTGGACAAGGACTTGATTGTAGGACAATTCTCGCACGGGGAACCCCACAATGAAGGTCACTGCCGTTTTCTATTATTATTATTATTTTCAATACAATTAACTGAAATTCATGATATGTGTAAAGTTGGGTTTTCTTTTGCTTACAAATGAGAAGAGAGGTTAGTACTATGGCTGTTCGTTTGATTATGGGTGATGAAATCATGTTCTTAAAATTCCGATTCCATGTTTTAGTAATTATATGACTTGTGGCTTCCAAATAGTTTGGTAAAATTGGAGACTGCTGTATGCTATTTGCAGCCATGGTTGGTGATGTAAATATATTCATGAATGATTTGGATGATTCTCACGTGGCAGAGGTTGAAATAATGATAGCTGAACCAAAGAGGTACGCAATTTGACTTCCATTTTCATGAACTAGTTGCTGAGTTACTTGTGTACAATTTTGAGAGAAATGAATCTGTGTATTACTCGTTCTAATTGTAAAGTGTGGCACAATTCTTATATGTAGTCATGTGCAAAAAGGAGGAAAAAAACGTGAAAATGGGAGTAGCAGTAGCTAACAGTCCCGTAACAAAAAAGCCCACTAGCTAGTGCTTCACAATTACTTCCTTTTTTCTTTATTGTATAATAGGTTTTATCATAATTGATTTACCTGCTGCTTCTTAGTCGTCGTTGCTGCCTATGTTTCATACATTGTTTATCTTGTAGCAACTGGATTTCCTTTCTTTGTTTAACAACAAAGAAAATTTTGGAGTGGATGAGGGTGCAGATGTACAGTTGTTGCGGAGAGACAATTGAAATAAGTTGAGATTGTGTAGTAGCATCACACTAGCACTATCTATATATAATCCCTGGTCAATGGCTGAATAGTTATCTAAACAAAAATCCAAGGTGGCAAGAATAAGCAAATATAAAAGAAAGTTAGTTGAATATCACCTTTCTGAATTTTCATCTCTTTCTTCATGTGAACCGTATCTTCTGTTGTAAATGTTCATCTCAAATAGCTGAAGAAAATTTGAATTTGTTCTGAATTGATATTAAGATTTTCTCTCCTATTCTGGCTTATGTCGTCTATCTCTCCTATTCCCTACACCGAATCTATGCTCCAAATTTTAATTCACCTTATTATGTAAGTGCAAGAGATAAAAATCTTTCCTCTGTCTGCATCTTACAGCTTAAGGTTTTGGCTGATTTGGTATTTTGAAACTTCGGCATTTATGGATGAGTTTTTCTATAGGCACTTACGGGAGAAAAAAGTAAGAAGAAAAAATGAAATAAGTTTCTCCATAAGCTAAAATTAGAATATGCAAAGCCTAATTTGTTAAAGTTCTTTCATATAGGTTTTCTAAATTATTATTTTTAACTTCAGAAGCTAATTTTAACCTATGTTAAAGTTTTTTATTCTATTTTTTTCCTCTCCTATTAGTATTTATAAAAGTTTGTTCAAACAAGTTCTTAGTATTAAAACTCCTTATTCTAACTATATCAACTCTCCCTTTGCTAGCATAGCCGTCGAAAAGGGCTTGGGAAGGAGTCTGCTCTGATGATGATCAGCTTTGGTATCGAGAACTTAGGAATTAATATCTTTCGGGTTAAAATTGGAGAATCAAATGGAGCATCCCTTGACATGTTTCAAAAATTGGTTTGTTTGCTACTTTTCTTTTTTTATTATTTTCTTTTATATTTACTCCTTTTATATCAAAGAAATGATATGTCTTACAGCTATACATTTCTCTTATTTTGAGTGGTTGTCAGAAAGTGATGCTCTTGAGCAACATAATTTTCAGTGTTGCTCAACATATTCATTAATTTTTGAGACATGATCATTCTATTGATTGATTTCATGTACTCCAGCGTTAAGAAGCATCTCTCTCTCTCTCTCTTCCAAGGGTTGTTAAGTTCTCTAAGTTTGACTCACTTATGGATTTTGTGTAGGGGTTTGTGCAAACTTCATATAGCAGCATCTTCAAGGAGGTGAGTGTATTTAAATTTCAATGAATTTCCTGACTGTTAGGCTAAATTACATATGCTTTGTCTTCATGTAGTTGAAAGTGCAAGTCATTATTTAAATTGAGCTAAGGAATCTGACTTCTCTTTTGTCAAATATATTCTGGTTAAAATACATATGCTTTGTGCTTATTTAGTAGGAGGTACAAGCTAATTGATCACTGATCTCAGAATTGTGCTGAAAACCATACGTAGAATAATAATAATATGTACCAAAACACACAAGGAAATTATCCTTTGACAACATCTAAATCTTCCTAAGTAGAATAAGTGAAAACTAATTTTGAGAGGTTCATTCTGTAGGAATTTGGGAAATAGGTTTCTCATTTCTGGTTATGAATCTAGAATTCAGAATTTATTCTGGTTCAAAGGCTGATCAGCACTTCACGGAGTTCTGGTAAGGTTGGCTGAACACTATGTTGTCCCCCTAGCTCTCTTTAATTGAAGCACATGGATAATAGGATAAATTCTCTCCCCTCTGGTAGTTTAACTTATATATTACTGCTTCCACCTTAGCCAAGATCGAAAACGGCCAACATATGTTGTAGCTAATTTAGGAACCTTTCCTAGCCACAGGATATGATGTTTGCTGTTTGACACATCCTACTGTGATATGCTTGCTGTAGGTCACAGCAGTGGCACATGGTAGTGCAGCTATAGCAGTGTTGTGTCCTGCATCTAGGTGTTCTCATGGTTCTCATTGCAAAGTATTTTTTTTCTCAAAGCCTTGGCACTGCGAAATGCAGCCACATTCACATTCGTGGCAAATCATGGCAATCTTGGCCACTATTCTTGCGTGATTGAAAAATATTTGTTGTATGTTCATATGAAAAATATCAATTTAACAATAAGTATGATAATATCAATTCCATATTACTGAAATAAATAAGTTCATACAATATCTACTGTATTTCCTAGTGCATTTTTACTTCTAGGTGGAAGTGAGGATGTAGTTACATTGCCTTAAAAACAATTGGAACCAATTCCATATATTTTCAATTTCAATATTTATATCTAAAATAACCAAAAAAAAAAAATAATCAATTGAATCTGTCTAGCAGAATAATCAAAATTAAAAAAATAATTAAAATAAAATCCCTAAATCCCTAAAATTCCTCAATCTATTTGAAAAACTTTAAAATCCCAAATCCCTCAATATCTTAATCTAACCTGCGAGAGTGGCGGCGAGAGGAGCACGAACAGGGGTGAAAATAGCGCGACCAACGACGAGCACCGCATGTGACCAATGGCGAGCATTGTGCGACCAATAGAGACCAATAGCGAGCGTACAGTGCGAACGTGACAACGAAACCGCGACCACAACTAGGGCTAGGGAACAACAATCACAGCAACAACGATCACTGCGATGACGACCATCGACGGCAAGCAATGCAGCGACAAATAGTGAGAAGGGATGAGAAATGCGAGATTTGAACTTGTGAGAAGAAATGAGCAGAGCGAGTGGGGGAAGATGTAAGTTTCATTTTTCCTTCAAACTCGATAACTCATATTTAACTTGTGAGTTTACTTAGAGTCCACCAAGTATACCAAGTTTGACTTTGAGTCTACTATAAAATGAGTCTACTCACGAGAGTTAATCTGTGACCGGTCGCTTGACTCGTTAACTCGTCCGAGTCAGCAAGTTGACTTGCAAATTTGATATACATGAATGGGATTAACCAAAACAGAAAAGGCAATTGAAAGATACCTTGAGAGAAGGACCAACGGTTACTCCCCACACCGAACCACGCACAATATGCTCCAAAAAGGCCTGTCCTATGGCTCCTCTTCCACTCCCAAATACAACACCCTCATATGATTCACTCAGATTCCCTATTTTGTTCTCCTCCAAGCCCTTTTTCTCACACGTGCCCCTTCTCTCATTTTTTGCCCCTCCTATAAAAATGGGCATTAATTATGAAGTATTAATGTCATCAATTTTTTTAATCCAATACTAAATCCAGTTTTCAGAAAGAAGCTTCATTTAATCAGAGATCCTTTTGATTTTTAATACACTTTGATTCTTTGTTTCTTGTCAATTTCTCTTATAAAGTGGTTATGGTCTAATTCAATCTTCTAAAGTTGGCTTGTAAGATGGATTGTCCTTATTTATATATTGTATTTCAGCACAATCTCTTGTGCATGTGGGACGTAGTTTTTTCCAATACACCCCCTCACCTCCAAGACTATTGGGCTTGATATGTGTATAACATGGAAAGTGACTCTTGTAGTGAATTAGGATAAGATATGATACCATCTCATGAAGTGGTTCAGGCACAACACATTCATAAAAAACAGATTTCTTGGGCGAGAATTGTCTTCACTTGTACTGAATTTGGGCACTATATCTAGTAGATCTGAGGCTTGGGTTTTCCCAATTATCTCCTCATGTTTTTTGCTTTAGAGCACCTGCACCTTTTGTTTCTGTTTTGCACTTATGTTGCACCTCACACACGTTGATTTCTGTTATACAACTTCCAGCGAAGCAAAATGGTTGAGTGGAGAGGTTATGGCGGATAGGAGGAACAGGCTAGGTTCCTTTATGTTTTTTCGTTGAGAAGGAGTGGCGGTGCCTAATGGGAGAAATAGGTTTGTATTATATTTTATTGGGTGAGGGGGAGCTGCGCTTGTATCCCAAATTGGGTCACTCCACATCTCAAACAGTCATAAATTGGGGAGGATTTTCTTTTTCTTTTCTGCTGTTTTTTTGTTTTTTGGGTTATGGAATATGATACTAATTATAATGCCATAAGGTACTCTATAATATTCACGAAAATTTTAAACAAATATAAGTACTGAAGTATATACATTATACAATAGAGAAAACAAATATATAAATATAAACTGAATATATATAAATAGAAAAAAAATGTAATAATAAGAAACTTATTTATATATAATGATAAGTAGAAAGAACATAAAATATATATATATATATATATATATATATATATATATATATATAGCATTTTTGCACTATTGTTTCCCAAACAACCATGTAATGAAATGTTGGACCAAATTGTTAAACTGGCGCTTGAATACAACAACAAAAATAGACACCCTGCATCAAAAAAATTAGAGTACAACAACACATTGCTAACAAGCCCTGTATACATGAACAAAACCATTCCCAAAATAATAACTAACCCTCTAAGCATTACAATGGTCTAAGATATTCTCTGTTTGCATATTTATGTGTTCACTTTCCTAAAAAATAAGTTAAATTATATTTTTGCTTCTTTATCTTATTTATAAGTTTCAGCGTGGTCATATATCTTTTAAAAACTTCATTTTGGTCTTTTATCTTTAAATTTGAGTAAATATGGTCCTTTAAAATAGTTACTATTCTCAATTTTAGGATAGGATTTTGAACCAATTTTTCTTTCATTCAAAACATGAAACTTGTTCTACTTAGTTCACTCACATGGAAACTATAGACATCGACTTATGCTCTAACAAAAAACGGTCTCAAATATGGTCAAAAGTCCCAAAAACAACGACAAAAATTAAAAAATGCAATATCAGATTTTTCAGTTGTTCCTGGAAATTGGTTTTCTCATGAATTTCATTGTATTGATAGTAATTTCTGTTTGAACATCAGTTGTATTGCTTAGTTTTTATGCAGGTGAATTTAATAGGATTTTCAAGTCGTGAATTATTTAAAAAATGATTCACAATTCCATTAAAATCGTTTTTTAATCAAGTACCCAGTGAAATATATATATATATATATATATATATATATATATATCCTTTACCAAGTGAAATGTATATATCCTTCCTAGATTTTAACCATTATTGTTGAAAGTCCCACATCGCCTACCTCATGTCATTTGGTATGGTTTAAATACATGTTAGGCTACTCCACATATTGCCAATTGGTTTTATGTTGGAACCTTAACATGGTATCAGAGCCAAAGCCTAACATCTTTCCGGTTATTGTCATGGGCCAAAAGTTGCCCTTTAGTTGGGTCAAAAGTACCCTTTGCCTGGTCCGGCGGGCTTCGTTGGAGGGGGTGTGTTGAAAGTCCCACATCGCCTACCTCATGTCATTTAGTATGGTTTAAATACATGTTAGGCTACTCCACATATTGCCAATTGGTTTTATGTTGGAACCTTAACAATTATTTAGAACATAATAAATGTTTTGATAAATAATGAACTCTTAGCTCAGATATATGAGAAAGTTATTGTTATGTTTATTCAAAGGAATTGAGAATGTATCTGTTGGATAATGGTATCATTTTGGATACTCCTTTCCTTTCATGTATAGGCTCTTTTGTACCTCAGTTCATTCTTCCCTGCATCTCATATTTGTTCAGAAAGACAATATTACTCCGATAGTAAAATAGATTCTGGATTCACCTTTTTGAAATGATAAACTAACATTTCGGATTTCCTAATTCGGATTTAAATGTAAAAAACATTTGCAGATTGACCTTGTTAAAAGTTTTTTGGAATCAACTTTTCAAATTGATTTTCCAAATGGTAAAGTTATGTTTAATAGATTTCATAATCCACAACTTTTGAAAATTCATCATTAGTGAAATTATGTTATGAATTTCGTAATCTAAAAGTAAAAAAAAAGTATATATTTTTTAATTTATTCATTCGATTTGTTTTTTGGATTTACTAGTTTGGAATACCTCAAAATATGTTTTTGGATCGTTGATTCTGTAAAACTAATAAAAGTATTATTGTCTTTTCAAATAAATATGGGATGTAACAAAATGATAGGAAGAAAGAGCCTATAAATAAGTGAACAGTTGTCTTTACGTTGAGAGCTTAACCCTAAACCCTGGCATAGAAGAGATTTCACAGATTCCACATTTATGATCATGGTTTTGAGCCAATAACAGCTACGATTGTCTTTTTCTTCTCTAGATTGTTTAATAATGGCTCATTCCTTTCTTATAGGTCACTTTGGAGTTACAAATAACACAGGCAAAGAAAGAGGAGATGCTAGGTTTAATGGGAATGGTAATCAAACATACATAATCGTAGCAATATCACTTCTTGTTTTTTTTTTTTTTATTATTATTATTATTGGTTACAGAATTATCTCTTCTGTTCTTATTCCTTGTTTTGTGATGGGAGGCTAAAAGTTGGCCTAGCTACGCAAATGCTGACGTTATTCATCTAACTATTATTACCTCTTCTAAGTGTAATAATCTGTAATTATATTAATGTCAGGCATATTTATTGTTTTCCTTTTAATGAGAAGGAACAACAGACGCGATGCCTAGGGAAAATATTTCTGAACTGTTTATGGTTTTTTGTTTTTTAGAGTAGAGCTTAATTTCGAAATAATTTTTAAAACTTGATAGATTTGGATGACATTGATTGTTAAATATTGTGGCATTGTTTACGAAATCACTTTTTAAATAAAATAAGTTAAAAACATGTCTTCTCTCCCAGCTTTCACCTTCATATTAAAAATGAACTAGTTATTGACTATTTGAGATGTCAAAACTGGTGCATGGGTCATCGCAGTTTCCGGAAAATATTAGATATATTTAATCTTATATTAGATTTATTGTTTTTCTTTACAATTTTATAGGAATGTATGTTAAAAGATAAGTTTAATTATGTTTTTAATTCATGAAATTTGGAACAATTCTTGTTTTGGTCCTCCAAATTTAAAACATGTTTATTAGACTATTAAAATTGAAAAAAAAATCTAGTTCTTTAATACTAAATCTGATGGAATAAAAGTAATTTAAATTATAAATCATGAGTTTTAAATCTTAAAAAAATATTTTAATCCTTCAAATTTAGTATTTAGGAAGTAAAATTATTTTTTTAATTGAGGGACTAAAAAGAATTTTTAAAATGTTGGGATTCAAACAAAACAAATCTCAATTTTCAAGAATTAAAAGCCTACCTATATCTAAATAATAAACGAACCAACTGGTTAAACTGAATCATAAATTACATAATCCAACTAAATTTCAAGTTGAACTAGACTAATTAATGTTATGAACATAATCCAACGAAATTTCAAGTTGGACTAGACTAACTCATTTTACAATTTGAATAAAAAAGATAATGTAAACTCTCGAGTTATAATGATCGATCTTAGGAATGTTTAATACTTAATGTGTTTATATGAGATGCTTTGTTTTCATCAACTATTTACCAAATATCAATTCTAACAAGCTAACATCTCTTTGATGTAAACTCAGCATTGTATTTTTCATGAAATTTTAACTTAGTCTCACCACTTCATTTTTTCGGTACATGATATTTTATATTTATATTTATCTTATATTTTTTCTAGGCTAAATGTCTTAAATATACATAATATTGTATCAAATTAGAGTCCCAAAATCTTCTACAAATTCTTGCACCTTTCTCTTTCTTGCACACCCAAGGCCCTCTTTAATGGGGTTTGAATTTCTTTATTCACTTCTCCATTTGTCTTTTCAACTCCTCTAATGGCTTCCTTTCCAAGAATGGGGTCCTATAGAACCATGTTGTTCACTTATTCCCTACAAAAAGATACACTTCGTTTTTAGTTACATTGAGTTCTATTCGTGATGAGATAAAGAAATATTATTAATGTAGTTTGGGTTTTGCTACCATCTTTACTCCTCGTGATTTCACATTGCTTGGCTCCTACTTTTCGACTTTGCTTGATAGAGATATGAAACTTCATATTCTTCCTCAAAAGGTTTTACTATAAAGAACTCAATGGAGATATTCATGCATTACCGTGATTAAAATCTCTCAAACACAACCACGACTCTAATTTCAATAAAAAATATAAACATAGAGTTCTAACCTCAATCACACAAATGACAAAATACTCCAATCAAATTACATAGAAAGATATAAAATTAGAAATGAAACACAATGATGGAGTCTTCGCAACTCACCATGGTAAAAAAATGCCTAAAAAAGTCATTGTGTTCTCATTGTCGCTCAAAAGAAAATCCTTGTGCGTGTGAGGAACATGAAATCCTAGAAGTGATATAAAATGAATTTTATGAGGTCTGATGTTAAAAGTGACATTTATGTCTGTTAAGGTTCAAACATAAAACCAATTGGCAATATGTGGAGTAGCCTAACATGTATTTAAACCATACCAAATGACATGAGGTAGGCAATGTGGGACTTTCAACACACCCCCTCCAACGAAATCTGCCGGACCAGGAAAATGGTACTTTTGACCCAACTAAAGGACAACTTTTGGCCCATGACAATAACCGAAAAGATGTTAGGTTTTGGCTCTAATACCATGTTAAGGTTCCAACATAAAACCAATTGGCAATATGTGGAGTAGCCTAACATGTATTTAAACCATACCAAATGACATAAGGTAAGCGATGTGGGATTTTCAACAATGTCGAACATGCATATAGTATGATGTAAATTTCAGTTTTTACATTGGACCCCATATGGTCCAACATAAAAAAAAAGAGTTGGTTTTAATTTAAAAAATGTCACCATGTTTTTTTTTTTTTACGTCAAGTAATTACAAATATGATGAGAAAAAACTAGTATAAAAAACATGTTTTGCACTAATGAAAAAGAGTTATACAAATCTTAAAATATATAATTATGCAAAAAATTAGCACAATATATAAAAATCTAGTTCGGTGCTGCATAAGATTTGTTCAAGTATAAGAAAATTCTATGAAAACAAATTTGTTAAGTATAAGAAAACTCTAAGAAAACTAGATTTGGGGTTCTAAAACATGCCATGTATCTAATTACAAATATAAATCTAGTCCTAAGAAGTCCATAAAAATTAAATTTGTTTGAGTATAGGAAAATATATTTGAGATGTAGAGAGACTATTAAAATATAATTTCCACACTACATTACCATTAACCTTTTTTCTAAAATAAAAGTATGTCGAGTTACCTTTCAATAAGAAATATAAATAGAACACAAAAATGTTGAATGAAATTAAATATCAAAATAATAGTTTTAAATGTTAGTTGAAATATTTTGATTTTGTAGATATTTTGGGGAATTAATATTACGATCTTAGGTAGTTAATATTACAATTCTAAGGAGTTAATGCTAGGGTTTCAAAAAGTCAAAGTTGCAACCTTTAAAAATCTAAATGTATTATTTGATAATTATGATAGAAAATTAGTAATATACAAATTACAACTATGGTTTGAGTGTGAGAGAATTTGAACAGAGTGATGATTAGTCTAACAAACAGTACATTTGTCCTGGTTGACAAAGGCAGTCAACTATGACAATTGGAATCTTTGGATGAAGGCTCTTCTTGTACCCTAAGATAATTTGGAGGTGGTATATGAAGGTATTGAAGAATCAACGAGCATTGTGGGCATTTCAGCAGCCCAAACACAAGGTGTTGAAAGAGACGCATGCAAGGATAAGACAACTTTGTACATGCTTATTGAGGTATTGATGAATTTGGATTTGAGAAGATAGCAAGTGCTAAAAACTCAAAAGAAGCATGAGAGATCTTGGAGAAAGCATACAAGGGCAATGATCGAGTGAAACAAGTTTGGCTACAAACACTTTGTGGTGAACTTGAGAGCATGAGAATGAAGGAGTTAGAAAGAGTTTCTGAGTACATCATGCGTTTTGAGACCGTGGTGAACTAACTTAATCAAAATGGAGAAATGATAATTAATGGTTGAGTCGTGGAGAAGGTTTTTGAGGTTGTTAGTCGATAACTTCAAAAATGTTGTGTCTGCAATAGAGGAGTCAAAGGACCTGTTCGATCTCATAGTATAGGAACTGGATGGGTCTCTTGAGGCCCATGAGCATTAGAAGAAGAAGAAGAAGAAAAAGAAGGAGAAGAAAAAGCTTTATACTCTTAGAACACTCGTGGTAGAGGAAGAAGAGGATGTGGAGTTTGAGGTAGAGGTGGTAAAGGTCATGGACAAAACAATGAGGAGAAAGAGTCAAACCATTAAAATTAATGTGGTAGAGGACATGGTTGAAGAGAAGGTCGGTCACCTACATATAATGTTGAATGTTATAAGTGTGACAAATACGAGAGATTATAACTTAGACAAATGTTATAATTGTGGAAATGTGAGACATTTTGTAAAAGAATGTTAAGATGAAAAAAAAGTGGAAGAGACAAATCTTGTAAAGGAGGTAGAAGCGATAATGTTGATGGCCGATCATAGGTTAGGAAACAATAGTGGAGTCGATCATAGGTCAGAAGATTGTGAAAGTACTGATTACGACTCGATATGGTACTTAGACATGGGTGCAAGTAATCACATTTGTTGGGACAAACACTTATTTAAAGAGTTAAAGAAGGTAGAGGCTGGCTATATGGATTTTGGTGACGTTTTAAAGGTCTCGATGAAAGGTCGAAGCATGATCCATTACTTGTAAAAGGATGACCTAGATCGATTCAGGATATGTACTACGTTCCCTATCTCAGGAATAACATTTTGAGTATAGGACAAATAATGAAGAAAGGTTATTCGATATTCATGAAAGAACGAGTACTGCACTTGAAGGATAAGGTCAGAAGGTTGATTGCCCAAGTTGAAATGAGAAAGAATAAAATGTACAAGTTGTAGTTGAGAAACATTCGGGAGAGGTGTCTAAAACTAAATGTAAAGGACATAGGGTTGACATGGCATAATCAGTTTGATCACCTTCATTTTGGTGGTCTAGTCAAGCTATCAAAGAAGAGCATGGTGCATGAATTACCAATCATGGACTGTGATGGGAGATTTCGCAAAGTGTGTGTAATCGGTAAACAAGCAAGGACGGTCTAGTCAAGCTATCAAAGAAGAGCATGGTGCATGAATTACCAATCATGGACTGTGATGGGAGATTTCGCAAAGTGTGTGTAATCGGTAAACAAGCAAGGACTCTCGTTTGGAAACAAGCTAAGTACCAAGCAAAGGAGTGATAACACATTTTGTACACACATTTATAGCTTTACTGTATAGTGAATGCACGTTCCATATGTCTTTTCACTTTTAAACTCATTTTCAGTTAGTAGTAATAAATTTGGTTCAATGTATGTATTTGCTTTAATT